TCCGAGCGTACATTGCAGTTGTCCGCAAAGGCAAGAGATGAGCGGCTGATCAATTCTCCTGTATTCTACGTCGCCAAGAGCGACCGTAAACAATACTGGAAGGCGATTGCAGACAGCATGGAGGCTGCAACCGTCGCAGAGGACTTTGGAAAGCTATTCCACCTACTTCGTGTCGCAGCAGGAAAGTGGCAGACATCGGAACCACTGTTGCGCAGCACCACAGGCCAACTCATTCAGGGAACCGATAAAAAAAATGTAAAGGTGGGTTGAACACTTCGACGGACCGCCCAACCGACCATCAAACCAAGCTGGCTCTCTACAGATGTCAAGCAGTTCGGAGACTTACAACATCAATTGCGACCAACTTAGCACGATAGAAAATCATCAATGCAGTCACTTCTCCGACAAACAGGATCTTGGAGAAGACGGGATAACATCAGAGTTATTAAAAGTTTGCTTACCAATTCTGATCGATCCGCTGCACTCGCTTTTCCATACCATTTGGGAAACAGAAGTTTTTCCAAAAGACTGGACGGCTTCAATTTTAGTCTTGGTTCCAAAAATTGGCCGATAGATCTAGATGCGAAAATTACAGGGGTATTAGCCTGATTGAAATTGAAACCAAATTGTTTGCAGTGATACTGCTTAATCGCTTCGCAGTCGTCAGGGCTACCCACACTCACCCGAACCACGGAGGGTTTCGCCGCGGAAGATCAAATCTTCACTCCGTAGAATTCTGGAACATCGCTACGAGTTCCAACAGCCTACCACTGAATGTTTCATTGACTTCCGCGCTGCGTTTGACTCTGTCGATAGAGAATCCTTGTGGTCCGATGGGATGCCTGGGAATTTCATCAGGCTTTTAAAGTCATACTACTCGGGAACCGGGCACACATCCGTACCTATGGAGAAGAATCGACTGAGTTTACCCTAAGTTCTGGAGTTACTCAAGGTTGTCCCATATCGCCGGTGTTATTCACTTACAACGTAGATTGGATAATGCGACAAGCACTCATCGACTACCCCGGAATGCAGCTTGACCCAGGTACATGGATCGCGGATGATGTCGTTGTACTGAGAGACAACATGGACAACCTCCTTCCTATTGTCAGTCCTATAAATCAGTTTACCCAGTCCACTGAGATCAACACGTCGAAAACGAAGACATTTTCGACCGAAACTTCTACCAGGACACTAAACCTCTTGATTAACGGGAAGCCTGTCGAATCAACCGAAGTTTCTAAGTATCTTGGCTTTACGATAAGACCAAACGGTCCGGCTAAGGATGAAATCCAACTCCGTGTAGATGGAGCTAGAAGAGCCTTCCTAAAACTCCTCAAACCGTTGTGGGATCGATGCGAAATAAGCTTAAACACTAAGATTCGGGTTTATCAGGCTTCCATCCGCCCTATCCTCACTAATGGTTGTGAAACCTGGCCGCTAAGAGTATAAGATACAAAGAAGCTCAAAGTCTTTGGTCGTTGGTGCTTACACCGCATCTCGAAAGCAAACTGGAGAGATCGGATTTCCTATGATGAGGTTCGACGGCGCTGCTTGAACATCGACAAGCTTTCAAAATGCTACAACGCCGTCGCTTTCAGTGGTTTGGTCATGTGCTCCGAAGGCCTGACATTCAACTCTCACGCCGGGTTGTAGCCTGCGCACCGTGCACGCAGTTCTTGTTTATCGAATTACTGGCCTAACAGATTTCGGTGTTTGTTAAACCGGATAGTGACACATTTTGAGGTTTGCATATCTTACACTATTGTAATCCGTATTTTAGTATCGCTTTTGTAAAAGAAACCCATTTGTTGAAAGACACCGACTTCCGGGCTTTTTGCGCGTCACTCTACGGGGATCGTTGTAGCCTGTGAAGTCAGTATTTTACTTCTCTATGTTCTTCTGCTAAAGCTCTATTTAAACCGTGTGTTTTCTGCAGTATTTACCACGTTGAGATGTAATGAAATTAAGCAGCATTGCGATATAGTCTTCTTTTGAAAAACACAAAAGAGCTTAGTCCCACTGGCTGTTTTAGGAGGAATAAAATCCCTCCTTGTTGACCGTGAGTGCGAAAAAGAAACAACACAGTCAATTTCAGAGTCATTTTTTATGTTCCATGTATTTTCTCAATCAATTATCCATTGGTGTTCACTCGGACATGGTGGTAGGATCTTGTGGATTGAACATGGGGTGAACGCAGGAAAAGGGCTGCGGTCATAGATGGATAGATAGAACAGTGGAGGAGGAGGAATGAAATGAGGTGTGGACAGGAGGTGCGATAAAGAGAGAGAGCGAGAAGTGGATGAGATACAATGCGGATTGTGGCGACTGATGGAGCAAGGACTCGGGGGGCAGTTGGGGAGATGATGGTTCGTGAATTCAGCATGGTCCTGCTGCGCCGGAACAAACAAACCAAGGCAAAATCGAAAGAATTCGGGTTCAAGGAGAGATTGGCAAGTCCCGCCCCGCCGGCAAGTTGTTACAAAAGTTCGCCTTCAGCCGGGAAGTACTGTCTACTAGGACTGATTGGTTGATCGATCAATTCACATTCATAAAAGAAGCGGTACCCGAAGGAAGAAAACGTTTTACTACACACCGACGCGCGCGCAAACCAATTCATCTATGCGTGCGGACACAATGAACCATTAAAAAACAATAACGAGCATCATAATCATCGTTAGGTTTCCCATTGAGAACAAAATCGGCAACGAAGGAAACAGACATTGACTGTTGCTGTTGTTGACAGTAGACAGATAGGCATCGAGCGAGCAAAACAGAGATCGTCAATGTGTCATACTGGACAATAACAAAATTAGCTCCTTTTCACATTGTTGACAAACTGAGCTTTCAAATGATCCCTGAAGATGAGGAGGATTGGGTCATGACAGACAATGTTGGGTGTGTAAACAAGGGAGGAGGTCATGCAATAAAACAAACGTATTCCCCGATTCGAAAGGAGAAATGGTTGTCAGGACGACTGCTCTTATGTACTGGGGGAAGAGATCAATTCGACGGAGTTAAGAAAACCGGTTTTGCAAGCACTGGGATTGAATCCACCCAGAACAATTGTGGCTGACTGATCGGGCCAGGTCACCGCGCAGTGACTGGCTCGAGCGCNTTGCAAGGGTGGAGCGGGTATCCAATTCCATGCCGCAACATCGAAGGTCCATACGGAATTCAACGTTTCCCGTCCATTGAAGCCACCGATAAGCAGAAGATTATCTAGAAATTATAGACAACTATACGGTGACTACCACTGTAAAATCACTGGCAGTAGCGAAATACTTTTATTATTAGTAGACACATAAGTGTGATGAACAACAGACGGGGCGAACCACATATTCACGAAGACCTGCTGTTCAGTGGTAACCTAAGCCCCGGGACTTGGAGTGGCGAACCACATAAAGCCCCGATAGGCTAGGCGTGGTATTGAACCGGACGACAGAAGAGATGCTTACCACCAAAGTCGGGTGGCGGGGCTCGAACCTACGGACAAGAGGGTTCAAAGCACACCGGTATCAGTGACCACCACCAACACCCTAACCCGGGATACTTACGCCACCTAATATGGATAGAACGATCAAATCCGAACCGGAAACCTAAGCCAATTTATTCATCAAACGGCGAACTTCCCTGATGAATATTTCCATTTCCATGCACTGTCGTGCGCCGGTTTTGGTTGCTGTCTTCTGGCTGCCCATTCGGATGAAGAATAGAAGAAAGGAAAGATGAGAGTGAAGCCGAACAGAAAATGGAGAAGTTCAGTGGTCTAAGGTTGCAAAGAAATTGAGCAGATGCACGAACGCCACTCTTTACGACACCCAGCCATATCACTCAGTGTCTCTAACTATCGGGTACGACCATCCAGAGGTCCCCATCCAGGGAGCCTAACGGGACCTATGTGCCCCAGACTCCTGGTTAGGGTTTCCATACTCTCATGTCAGTCAGGTCTTAGCTTGGCTTTTTTCCACTCGGTATCTGTTTCGGCAAACATCGCTCGCCGTGGTAGCCTATCTGGTGGCATGCGTAACACATGTCCCGACCAACGCAATCTATGGAGGTCGACTACTTGCTCCGGTGGGCGACCGCAGTTGCCTAAAACTCTGGGCCCAACCTCAGAATTGCTCATCCGGCTACCCCACCAGATTCGTGCAATGCTGAGTAGACAGCGGTGTTCAAACACCGACAGCCTATCTTTGTCCTGTTTTCTTAATGGCCAAGTTTCTGCGCCGTATAATAGGACTGGCACACACTCGACCCTTCACAGACAGTCGGATGTCGCGACGGCGCCACAGATGTCTCAAGTTGGCAGATACCAACCGAGCCTTCGGTATGCGAGCTGACACCTCATTTGTGATGCGTCCACCGGGTGAGAGGAAGCTGCCCAAATAACAAAACTTATCCACGTGCTCGATTACTTCCCCAGTTAGTGAGGGTGAGTGCTAGACCAACCCAATCTTGTAGGTGCAAAACGCATGCCGAACAAGGCTACACTGGCACTCAAACTACCCAGAAAAGCTTGCAACTTATCTTCATCTCCACTTAGTAGCACAATGTTGTCTGCGTACTCTAGACCAGACAGTCTACCTCCTGGAAGTAAATTGATACCGCTATTCTCGCACGAGGATAGGGCTGTTTCCATAATCAGATCTATAACAAAGTTAGATAGAAATGGAGAGAGAGAGGGCAACCCTGTAGAACACCACTTTCCGCGGTGAACTCGGGCGAAAAATGCCGTAAGCCCCGGACTCGATTTCGGCTATTAGAATAAAGCGATCGTAATATTGAAATTAACTTCTCGGGCACACGTTTCAGAAAAAGGCAGCGCCAGAGTTTAGAGCGGTCGACTGAGTCGAAAGCCGCCTTCAGATCTAGGAAGACAGAGATGGTGGGTCTACGAAAAGAATGTCGATGCTCCAGAATTTGGCACAGAGTGAAGATGTGGTCGATACAGCCTCGACCGGGTCTAAAACCAGCCTGGTTCTCACGCGTACACCGTTCACGTGCATGCCACCCACTAAATTCGATTTAGTTTGGCAACCAAAGAGAGACCAGTCGTTGTAAGTTTTCGGTTCCAATGATTTTGGTGACCTCGGTCTCGGTCACTCATCCGGCTGAACGACGATGAAACGAGTAAGAATAAACAAAAAGCTGAACGGTGCATGAGGTTTGGGCTGTAAAATGTATGCATGAGGAAACTGGACAAGTGAATCATCACGACATTTTTTGCGATACTTAGTAGCGAGTTATTGACCGAGATCAGTTCGTCCACTTATTCCGTTCCTGAGAACATCAGTTCTATGAGGTTCTAACTATTTCAAGACGTCCGAAAGCTGACAAGGCCCTTGAATTACCTGCTGAACAGCCTGTAGAACATGTGGCTCCGATGCTCAACTCATTCATGTCTGCAAGCAGACTTGACGACTGTTGGAAATCTGTCAAGATTTGATCCAACCCCGAAGTAGGGCTTTACGACACACCACTCAAAAGTTTATGCTGCCGAATTTCTTTTTGAAAATACCCGAGTACGTCGCATGCCCTCCCTATTAGTATTCATTGACCTCCACGAATATGCATCCAAAGCCTCTCTTACAAACATTAACGATGTTGCGTATGGAACACGCCTCCTGTTGTCCATACCTTCGTCATTGGACTTTTTCCTTCGAGTGTTGCGTGATAGCTTCTCAAAGTGGACACAATCCTTCTGTTCTAAGCGCTCTTGCTCTCTTCCATTTAACTCAAGGTTTTATCCACACACACACACACACACACACACACACACACACACACACACACACACACACACACACACACCGTTTGTCCAAGAACCAGACATTTCTCGATCATGCTTTAGCTAAAACCCGTAGTCCTTCTCCCTCAACACACAACACTCAGCAAAAACCTGCCGTTCTACAGCTACGAGCAGCAGTCCCTTAGCCTTGACGCACACATATTAGCCATACCACTGCATGCGATCGAGATCAAAATGTATCGGAATATTTTAAGGTTAGCGAATGTTGAAAATTTTTCATTTTTTCTAAATGTCAGTGGCCCAAGGACTGCAAGTAAAAATTCCAAATGCAACATCAACGGTAAAATGTTTTGCGGTTACAAGCTGAGACATTAATCAAAAATCGATACAATAAAGAAATAAATGTTTCGTGTTACATCGCTCTAGTTGAACAGCACTCCGTTAAGAGTAGTGGATACAGTGACAGTCCAAGGATAATTATGAGAGTTCACAAAAGCATACCTCAATTATTGTCATCGGTATAAACTGATTGCAGCAATGGATACAAATAGGACGGCTGACTGTGCAGCATACGATTGCCACAAAGCTTTGCAAAATTCGGTGACTTCAGCATATTCTGATACTTTTTCATCTAACTCACCTACAGCGGCAGGATTCATGTTTGCGCATTAAGGCTAAAGGACTCCGAACACGGTCAAAACAGTGCGGGGTTTGGCTAAAGCTAAAAGGTGCAGTAATCCCTCGTGAGTTGCATGGTGTGAGGTATACGGATAAATTGGGGAATTTGGTTTTCACAAAATTTACACCTGTGACAGACATTTCCAGCTAGTCCGCACCTGCGTACCACAACAACCGCCGGAGGTGCCTTTCTCGATTCGCCTGTTTGTTATTTCTTTGCCACCAACATTGTACGTCTGCGTTCACTGTCACATCACGGTATCCCGAGAGTCAGGCTCAAAACTCGCTCGTT